GGAAAAGTCACCGAAACCAAAGTTGTAGAGCTCATCGAGGTGCAAAATTTTTATTTTGGTCATTTCTCCATCTGACTCTATTTAAACAATTTGAAATTTAAAATTCAAAGTTTGAGAAATTCAAATAGAATTTTTTGTTAGGGAACGACTTCAACTGAAAAAGTTATCAACAACAAAGTTGAATAACTCATCAAGATCTATAACTTTTATTTTGGTCATTTTTCTATATAACATTTTTTGAACCGTTTGAATTTGAATTTAAAAATATGATAACTTCAAACAATATTTTCAAATACTAAATGATTTCAACTGAAAAAGTTATCAACAACAAAGTTTAATAACTCATCAAGATCTATAACTTTTATTTTGGTCATTTCTTCATCTGATAAAATGTTAGGAACATTGTTCATAAATTTTACATATATGTGTATAGTTTATAAATCCAGATAAAAGATATGTCAATTTTGTGAACAATGTTACTATCACTTATACAACTTTATTGTTGATGACTTTTCCATTTGATATTATTTACTACCCGTAAAATTATTTTGACTCGTAAAATGAATTATTATACTGCAAGTTAATTATTTTGCTATAGTTCAACTTACAAATATAAACATTTCATATGAAAAATAGAAAAATACTCATCGGTGACGGGCTTTAATTAATGCCCGATAGAGATTAAGTGATTAATTCATGTCAACCGGGGATTAGTATATAGCCCGTCACTGATGAGTTATCTGTGACGGGCCTTAAGTTGGTGCACGTCACTGATGATGGTCATCTGTGACGGGCCCCAACTTAAGGCCCGTTTGAGATATGGAATGTTATCTCAATCGGGTCTAAAGTTGGTGCCCGTCACGGATGATGGTCATCAGTGACGGGCCCTAACTTCAAGCCCGTTTAAGATATGGAATGTTATCTCAATCGGGTCTAAACTACGGCCCGTCACTGATATGTGTTATCCGTGACGGGCTTAAGTTTTATGTCTATCTAATGTCTGTGCGACCATATCTCAATCAGGCTAAAATGCCCGATTGAGATGACTTTCTTGTGACGGCCCGCTATTTCCAGACATGTTAGAGCCCGTCACAGATAGAAGGGTCTGTAATAGTGTCTCCAGCCATATCGCTCGACACCTCGATCTCAATTTGATTTGCGGAGGGGTGGTTCTAGCTAGGGATTACCGGCGGCTAGGCTTCTCTCTCTATTTTATCTCGTGAGTACGCGTTCCGACTTCCGAATCAGAAACATATTAGAACACACGTTCATAATTATGTTGGGCCGCACAAGGGCCGAGCAAGATAACATTGGTAGCCCATATCAATTAGTATTACTCTCTATTAACTTCTTTTTTTTTATTTTGGTCGGATCAAATTAATCGCCACTTGAATCACCGTAATTTTGACAATTTGATCCTTTTAAAAACTTATTTGAAAATTAGTCCGTGTCAAAAAATTATTGAAAAATAGGTCAAAACCTCAGCGCCATAAATTTTGGCGCTAAAGCCTATCTGAGTTGGACACCACGTCATTGGTGGGGCGCTGAGCTCCCATCCATCTAAAATGTTACATAAGTGAGCACCTTAACAGTATTGTTTGCTTGCTGTAGTGGATGGATTGTTAGGTTTGTACTCAATAGGTGACGGGTTCTAGCCCTTCTACCTGCACCGTTTTTTCCTTCGTAATTTAATTTCCTTTTTATTTTTGAATTGAAATATCGAGAAGAAGTGTATATTAGAAAACTCAAATCATCTCTCTTAAGAAGATATCCTCTTATTTAAAAATAAAAGGATATCTTCTCGAGGGACAAAAATCCATTTCCATATATTAGCATATATGCTTGCAAATGAAGAGATCCCTGTGTGTATAGTGTAAAGTGTTATGTCACGTATCCAAACTCAAATCATCTCTCTTAAGAAGATATCCTCTTATTTAAATTTAAGAGGATATCTTCTCGAAGGATAAAAATCCACTTCCATATATTAGCATGTATGCTTGCAAATGAAGAGGCCTCTGTGTGTATAGTGTAAAGTGTTATGTAACGTATCCAACCATGCAGGTAATTAAGCAAAAGGATTGATTAATTTATCCAAATGTACAAGCGTCCTCGTTCCCTACTACTACCTCTATATTTTAATGTATGACGCCGTTCATTTTTTTCCAACATTTGACCATTCGTCTTATTAAAAAAAATTTATGTAATTATCATTTATTTTATTGTAATTTGATTTATCATCAAATGTTCTTTAAGCATGACATAAATATTTTCATATTTAAAAAAAAATTAAATAAAATAAATAATTAAACATTGGTCGAAAAATTAACTGCGTCATACATTAAAAATACATACGGAGGGAGTACTTAATTTCCTAGCTAGCGGCGGGGAGATCTCGCATCCCCGGCCGGCCCCGTAGAGAGTGTTAATTTCCTACTACGTACGTGTGCCCCTTGTTAATTTACGTACATGAAACACGAGAAATTCGCTCTTAATTTCTGGATTACTACAATATATATACGGGATCCTAATCTCACTGGTGTAAATTAAGAAAGCCTTTTAATTATTTGGAGCGACATATATCAAATCCCTCGTTTACGCATACATGCATGGATACATGCTATATATATTTCCTAAGTTAATTCCTTGATTGCATGCATGTGCATCACTCGATCTGTATCAGTATATATTGAAACGCGCGCTGATTGGCTCCATCATTAGCTCCATTATTCCTATCTAGCTAGTACATTTCTCCTAAGAGTACCCGCAATGGTAAAGTAAGGTGCTATCTATAAAACATGTACATCTCAGCAATAGACTCGATTAATAGTAAACCACCTTAATAGTATGTCTACATTGGTATCTATAGCTCTCTCATGCATTGCCTCGTTTTTCTCTATAGACTATCTCTAAGTTAGTAGATAGTTTTGCTCTCTCTCTTCATTTAATACATTCTAAGTAGGAAAATATGCTGACATGGATCTCTTATAGAGAGCCTATAGATAACCATTGTGGGTGCCCTAAGATACATATCAAGATATGGGCGACAGCTTGTCTTGTCAGAGGAACACCGACGACGACGCCGCTCCGCCGCCGCCGCTGGTGCCCGTCGGCGGCCAGCAGCAGGCGGAGTACATGAGTAATCAGCAGGTGAGGACGAGGAGAGAGAGAGGCCAGCCAAGCAGCAGCAGCAGCAGCAGCAGCAGAAACCGGGGCGTGGGCGTGGCAGATGAATATCAAACACGACGCGGCCGGTGTTGATGATAATGTTGGCTTTCCCATCAGTTCACAGCCCCCTACGCTGCGTCCTCACAATTTTATGAGATTTTGCGCTACCTGCAACCGCACACTTAGTCCACAGATGAACGTCTACATCTTCAGGTACCTAGTAGCTAATTAATTTGTTGATGACAATTGACAAACCTTATATTCTTTTTCTTTCATAAATGATAATAACTTTGTATACATGCACGGGTTAGTTAATTGATTTTCTAATCTCCATACATAATTAACTTGTACACATGCTACTAATTATGATCACTTTTACTTATTTAGGTGAAATCAATTTATATAACTTTTCATCCGCGGTTCTTTTCATCCGTGGTTGGTAGTGCATTTTGTTTTTATAGATAGGGAAGATTTTTATTTGTTTGACATGCACGTGTGAATTCTTTTTTAAAAAAAAACAAGAAAGAAATTATTGTTGAACAATTGTAATATATATTGTACAATGAGCTAGGTGGATTGAAAACTTCACCTCCTTTTATGCCTCTCTTTTTTAATTTTAAGGTGTTGTAACAGGGGAGAGAGCGCTTTCTGCAGCCCGGAATGTCGGCAAGTACAAATGGACGCCTATGCTCGCATACAGGATATAATTAATTCTTGAACTTGTGCAAGGGGTGATCATCATATTCAATAACGAAGACAGAATAATGCAATTTAATTTCCAAGCCATATTTAGAGAAACTGATACCCTTATTTGTAATATGCATGTATCCATCCCTTCTTAAAGTTCTAGAAGGATATCCATGAATGTTCAAGCCTTTACGATCTCATCGTCTAAGCTATATGGTTAGTGAATGCTTCATGCAATCAGTGTACATCTGTCTTACCTATCTACTCCGAAGTGTGCTGTCTATATGCATGTAATGCTACTCTTATTTATATGATATGGTTGTTGTTTAAATGTGTTCTTTCACTATGTTTAAATTTGAGACCTTTTTGACGTACTTGATTACCTCTAGATTCAAATAAAATATCATTGCCCCAATATCAATCGACCTAATTTGCATTCTATAGATGTGTATGAATCGTATAAAAAATCACAAATATAATGTGTAAGAACTTTATCAAAAGAAACTACGATTATATATGCAAGCCACCGGATGAAGTGAAAGAAATTGTTGGGGTATGGTCTTAATTATAATACCAAACTGTAAGCATTTGCGTTAAATTTTTGTATAGAATATGTGAGCTAGTCACCATACGACACCTTTGAAGTAGGCTGCAGTTTACCAGTTACCAGGGTGTTATGTTGATTACTTCACCTGTTCAACTGCACTTTTGGGTTTGCAAAGGTGCAGCTCCTTGCAAGTTGTCATTTTATTCATCCAATTCTTTACCAATTGCAATCCTGGCTATTTTTCGGTGCGTTGACATCTTTATAGGCAGAAAAACGATGTTTGTTTTGCTCTTTGGCATCAAATTAAATGGTATCTTTATGTCCTGCATATTCCAATATGTTTTTGTTTGCAAGGAATTTAAGCACTCAGATGGCAACACTGCTTGTGCCTTGTCCCCTTTCACTATAAGCAGGGCATTGTGGCTTTTGGATTGCTCTAAGAACACATCTTGTGTAAAAATTTCATACGGTAGATAAGAACGCATAAATCTGAAAGCTCACATTTATCTCCAGTAAGGATCAAGCTAAATCTGTAAGTGGTTTCTGATTTCTGTGAATATAAATCGTTTCCATTTATCTACAGTAATTATGCAAGCTTTTGTTAGGTTGATGTTGTTTTTTTTATAAATGCCCCTTCAATGACTGGATCATGTGTATTTTTCTATCGATTCTACAAGTAAAGAGTACATTATCAAGTAACAACAGTAGAGAAAATCCAATCCAGGTGTTACAAGTCATGAAACTTAGGACCATGGGGATAATGACCTTCCAGAGGACACTTGCAATGCTTCTGCAACTCAAGGTACTTTTCCATATCAAAACTATTCTTGGCACAAAGCTTTCTGTGTCTTGACAAATACAGCCTTTCCATGAAGTCCTCATATGTTGGATCCCTTGAGGTAATGAGGAAATATGCGTAACCAACGAGTAGGCCAGATGCAGTTGTGAAGAAGGCAATTGGCTCCATCACATCCCATGAAAATTCCCAGAAAGTAAGGCGGAAGAAGAGCCCAACTTGGCACATGAAGAAACCTAGTCCAGACCACAGGATGCGCCGAACTTGCTTGTGTGCCAGCTTGTCGATCTCTTCCTTCTTCTCCTGGAGCTTCTTCAGCTCTTCTTTTCTTGAATCGTTCTCCGGTGAGAGTGCAAGCGGAACAGCTCTTCTAACAAGCTCAACCACCTAAAAATTGTCAAAAAAGAAAAAAAAAGGCTTCAGTTTAATAGCACAAGTGTCACCGAGTTCTAAAAATTGATCAGGCAACTAGGCAATTTGGGAGAAATGTCACCTTCTCGGGGTGGAGGTAGGCCTTGTCGCGGAACAGCAGCACGACGCCGGCCTCATCCATGGCCCGGGCGAGCGCCTCCGCGTCACGCCGCGTGCGCGCCGCGCCGGCCTCGACGCAGGCGTCCAGGAGCTCCCCGTACCCGACCACCTCCTCCCGCCCGTCCCTCAGCCGCCGCTTGAGCGCCTCCACGCCCACCAGCCGCACCAGCCTCCGCGCCTCCGCCGCCGTCACCTCCGCCTCGGCCTCCGCGGGCCGCGACGACGGCGGATGCGGAGGCGGGGAGAAGAGGCGCACGTGGCGGAGCGCGCAGGCCGCCCCTGTGGCGGTTGCCGGAGAGGGAGGAGGATGCGCGGCGCGGCGGCGGAGGAGGTGGGAGGCGGCCGCGCGCCACATGGTTGGTTGCCGAATGAGGCCGGCCGCCGGCGACGGCGTGGTAGTAGACTTGTATACTAGCAAATGGGCCGGAAGTGGACTGGACTGGACAGAGACCCTTCCTCTCGTTTTCCTTTCCTTTTCAGTTTTTATTTCCTTTTTCTACGTGCTAGTAAAATCTTGACCTTTTCTTTTCTTTTTTTCCTTTTTTTTTTTGGAGGATGTCGCCATCGCCAACGTGCTGTGATCTTTACTTCGGAAAGTGATGACTTGGGATCATGGACAAGAATCAACAAAAGGATGTGCCGTTACTTGTGTGCTGTTGTGATGTTGTCCATTCTTGCGAGGTTGCACAGAGAATTCCAATTTGCAAATACATCACCAACTGAATTTATGGGGATGCAAAAGATTTTTCTTTGATGAAAGCATGCACCTTGTGCTGACAACCAAGTCGGTCATCCTTTTGCATCCTCATGCCTTATGCAGTTGTGCTCTTACTCAGTGTATTTAGGGCATGTTTAGAAGGGCTTTCACTTCTAAATATAACTATTGAAAGTGGAGTTTGGAGTAGAACTATGGAGCATCCACACCGCCTCACTAGTTATTTTTTTACGATCACTCTAGTGGTCTAGCCCCTTTTTCTTTTAGACTTTAGCCTTAGAAAAAAAGTGAAGCTAGAATCTGATCAAAACACAACCTTATCCTTGTCAAACTTAATTCGCGTCTTTAGAAAAAGTAAAGCAGGAGCTTAAGCCCAATCAAATAAATCCTTGTTCTTGTCAAACATTATTTGTTGCAGTTATGCAGTATTGTTAGCGAATTCCACAGACACTGTACGTATTTTTCCTGCTACCGCTGATCAGCTAACAGTTGTATCCAATGTAACTTCCATTTTTACGCTTTCATAGTTAGGCCTTACACCATGTCAAATCGAATGTTTAAACACATGTATGAAATATTAAATATAAGCTAAAAAATAACTAATTGCACAGATTGCGACTAATTTGCGAGACGAATCTTTTAAGCCTAATTACGTCATGATTTGACAATGTAGTGCTATAGGACGGATTAATTAGGCTTAATAAATCCGTCTCGCAGTTTACATACTGAATCTATAATTTATTATGTTATTAGTCTACGTTTAATACTTCAAATGTGTGTCCATATATCTGATGTGACACGCCAAAAATTTATACCCTGGATTAAACACCCCCTTAGGGTGTGTTAGTTCACGCCAAAATTGAAAGTTTGGTTTGAAATTGGAACGATGTGACGGAAAAGTTGTAAATTTATGTGTGTAGAAAAATTTTGATGTGATGAAAAAATTAAAAGTTTGAAGAAAAAGTTTGGAACTAAACTCAGCCTTACCGTGAAATTCTAGCATGAATGAATGTCAGGTTACCAGATCAGCGGATAACAGAGTACGGGAAGGCATGGCAGGAGAGACTGCAGTGTACAGTAAGCAGTACTCCGTACTGGTCTCCGGCGAGTGAGGCAGGGGTAGGCAAGGTTTACTACCAAAATGAATACCTTCACCCAACTCCTCTTAATTCTGCTCATCATTTCCTCCAATTAATATTGCTACCAAGTCACAGACAGACAGACAGAAACAAGAAAGCCGAGTTCCATCCTCCACTCATCCCCGTCTGCTAATAGGATTAAACTTGATCAGGCAATGTAATTGTAACCCCTTCCAGCATTCAGGCCAGCAGTTCAAGGACCAATGTCATTAAAAATCAGACCATGAGCTTTGTTGACTGAAAACTGTAAAAAATGAGGCGAGTTTCAGTCTGCAGTTGGTGCTGTCCCTGCAACTGATTGTAGAGCTCGTTTGTTAAGCCCGTCCGTCAAATAGACAGCTTCAGATCAAAGTATGCAGAGCAATTTCTGAGGCATTTGGTCTTGTCATCGCGGAGTGGTAGCAACAAACAGGTCGTCCGGCGGGGCCATCGTTCACTTCAGTCAGAAATGCTGAATTGATTTTATCTGACGCTGAAGCTTAGGAGACGATCTTTACCAGTGCTAGCACATTAACAGCGATCCGAAAAATCAGGATCACAATCATCATTAATGGCGATCCAAACAAGATAAGCTAGGGGGGCTTTCTGAAAAATGTTGTCGATTGCGGCCTCGTAGCCATTGGATGCTTTCTCTGTGGCCACCGTCTCCTCTACCAATCCAAACCCTCGAGAGAGACCTCGCCGCCGCTGTGGTGGTCGTCGTCCATGGCTGTCGCGAGCCCACCGCCACATCCCATCTTGTGCCACTGCCGCCCAGGCGCCCATCCCATCCGGATGCAATGGCGAATTGGCGATGGCTGAACAGGCGACGCCCGATGGCCATGAGATGCGATGTGTGCGTGTCAGCTTCTTCTTGCTCTTGTGCATGTAAACCCAGCCCAGGAAGGGATCGTCAGCTCAGCAATGGCGAAACTGTAAGTCTGCAGTAGCTGTTCTTGTTTCATTTTTTTTCGGGAGAATAGCTACTTTAGTCCCTAAAGTTTGTCTGTAGGATCAGTTTAGTCCCTAACCTTTTAAATGGTCCAAAGAAATTCTTAACCTTTGTCATAAAGCCTAGAATAGTCATTGGGTCCACCAAAATCATCATATGGATATGCCATGTCATCATTCATACAAAATCTAAGATGAACAGTCCAATTTACCCTTACATATATCATAGAAAAATAAATATAATGGTGAATTAGACATAACCATAGGAAAAAAATAATTCTTTTTTCACCCTTTTGAGGTATATTTTTGCTCTTACATATACTATATATTTTTTTAAAATTTTCCTTTTGTTTTTTATTTTCCTATGCGTAAGGGTAAATTGGATAAATCATATAGATTTTGCATAGGAAGGTGACATGGCATGTCCATGTGGCGATTTTGGTGAGACCAAGGACTATGGGCTGGTTTGGTTTCAGGCCTAAATTAGACTTAACAATATTTGGTAATTTCAATAGTGTTTAGCGTCTATTTGGTTTGAAGACAAATTTTGGCATGCCTAAGAAAAATAGGCCATTTCAATAGTGAACTTAGACTATTTTGGCTTCAATCCAAACACAACTTTACCTTACCAAAATTAGTCATGCCAAAACTTGCTAAAATTTGGCATTGACAAAATTTGGTAAGGCCTATTTAGGTCACAAACCAAACCAACCCTATATTAACCCACATGACAAATTTAAAGGACTTGTTTGAACAATATGAAAGATTAAAGACTAAAATAACCCAGGAGCCAAACTTTAGGACCATATTAGCTATTCTCCCTTTTTTTTTCCCAATTTTCTCTTCTCTTTCCAGCTTCTGCTTGTTGATCGAGTCATCAACTGAACCCAAGACAGAGCAGACTGTTGTAAGCATGGCATTGGCACTGGCACGAGAGAGACGTGCACTGCAGTGCTTGTGCAACACTGGGCATTGCAGGCAGAGAGCACAGCACAGTAGTAACTCCCTACTGTACACTGCAATTTACCAGGGCCAATTTACAAACCAAAATGAATGCATTCACCCACTCCTCTGAGTCCTGCTCATCCTCTCCTTACCGTATTACTAATGCTACCAACAAACAAACAATCAATCAGACGACATGAAGAAGAAGAAGAAAGCCCACACAGTTCCATTCCACAATTTTTTTCACCATCTGATATTATGATATCATATGACAGACACTTCATCAAGGCAATGCAGTCCTCCCAACACCCCAGGTCCACAATGTGATAAGCCAGGAGCAACGTGTTGTAGGTATGTTTGCTTGGCTGTTTGCTCTCTTTCCCAGTCTCACACACATCACAAACAGTGTGCAATTTGATTTGGTTTGGTGCTCCATGATTGGGGAATATTCAGGACCATGGCACTGCATGTTCCTTTGCCCCACTCATGCAATCACCATCCCCCATTTAATTCATTCATTCTAAGTAACTCTATCAGCAACTAGTTTCAGAAGAAATGCTCAACTAATAATCACTGTACTCTCTTCTGGCAAGAGTCCTTGCAAATTACCCTTTATAACTAAAAGCATCAGGGAGTAGAGGGAAGTTAACCATCACATCAGGTGGTGAAGAACACCAAACACAAAGAAAGAGCCCTTCTCTTTCCTGCGATGGATTGAAGATGTTCAACAACCACTTCCTGACTATCATCATCATTCCCCAAACTATAGCTAGCAAACCCCTTTTCTGCAACTCCAAGGCTGCATTGCACTGCACTGCACAAGCCAAAGGGGGTAGAGAGGTCAGTGTCTTTCCAAGCTGACCTCGTGCCAGTAGCTCCCCACACTAGCACAAGAGAACAAGAGACAACAGGTCCCTCTGCTGGTAGAAAAGGACTAGTCCTTCTCCTTGGGGGCAATGGCAATGCTGGGCCCTGGGGACAAGAAAAGATTGGGCCCTTTGCTTGCTCGCTTGGACCCTTGAAGCCTTGGAGGAGAGAGAACATGAGAAAGAGGGAAGCTTTTGTAGTAGTAGCAGTAGAAGAAAGAAGCCAATGCCATGCATCACCCCATCATGGCAAGCAGGCAAAGGTGGTCTAAAGGCATTGTTGGGAAACAAATTTAAAAGCCTGCCTTCTCTCCCCACTCTGCCTGACCCCAATCCCAACCCCTCTCTCACTCCACAACACCATAATGAGTGTAAAGTAGTGTAAGTATAAAGAAGCAAGTGATTCATTTGAGGGTAATTGCATCATCAGGTGGATCTATTTTCCAACCCTTGAATGAAAGTGATGTTCAAGATTGCCACATTGGCACATAACCAACTTTGGAAATGTGACTAGGAAGCTAAATCAGTTACTACTACTTTTAATAGTGAAATATGGCATTGGTTGGTTGGAAATGCAGGTGCCCAGTGCCAAAAACTGCCACTCTTTAGCAAAGTAAACAAAGTATCAATGTGTAGTAATCTGGCAGTGAATAAACAACAATCATTCAGACATACTACTATTTTGCATAAAGCTGGTAGGCCAATAAGATGCAGACAAATGGTAGACAACGCCAGCATTAGAAGGAAGGGAAAAAAAACATGTGAAACTAGGAATGTTACCAACTCAAGGCAAATCCCAACCAAAACATTCGTGATGATATTGTAATGAAGAATATGCAAGACAACGACATCCAGGTAAACAATGCCCAAGAAGCCTGTTTG